AGCCCCATAGGACTCCAACTGCACCAAGCGGAGAGTATGCACTCACATGAATTCCCTTCTCCGAGCAGAAGCCTCGTAGTTTTCTTTGCTGCCAAAGAGGATTCACCTCCACCTATCACAAGAACGACAACTGTTACTATGACACCATGATCAAGAATGCATTACTTACACTAACCATTTGAGCTCCATGGTTATTTTTGTGACTGTCATCTTAACAATTTGATGATACTGGATACTTGTGCATCGCATTGCAGCATACAATACTTTCACTTTCCTGTTTCATTTCTAACAAGCAAACAAAAAGAAAGGAATGGATTCGATGGAGTTACGACTTACCTGGTTCACAGCAGGTGGAATTCTTGCATGGTTGAGTAGGTCAGCTATCTTCTTGCATGTGAAGTTGCTCACCCCGATAGATTTAGCTAAACCTAGACTCTGACATTTCTCCATTGCTTCCCACACGGTTGGCATGTCCAAGGGAATAACGTCCTCGCCGGTGAAAACCATTCGTTTCTCACCTTTTAGTCTAACAGGGTGGTGGATAAGATACAGATCGATGTACTCCAATCCCAAAGTCCTACAATCATTCATAAGACAATCGCATTAGCTCACAATCTTCTTTTGTTGCTAAAGGTCAATCCTGGCTTCAATTTGTGGCAACTGTCGCAGTCTTCCGTTCTCTGAGCTGTGATTAGTAGTAATATTATCTATGTCATATAAAACATATATCATGTGGATACAATAAATACCTGAGAGACTCTTGCAGTGCAGGGACGACGCGGTCGGCGTGCATGTCGGTGCACCACAGCTTGGTGGTGACGAAGAGCTCGTCGCGGCTGCCGATCAGCCCTCTCTCCAGAGCGGTCGCTATGGCCCGGCCGACGGCCCGCTCCGAGCCGTAGACGCTGGCCGTGTCCAAGTGGCGGTACCCGAGCCCGATGGCGTCGATCACCGCCGTCGTTATGGTTTCGTCGGGCGGCACCGGGTAGGTGGCCGTCCCCATGCCGAGCACCGGCATCCTCCGCCCCGAATTTAACACTACCTGCGGCTCTACGTCCATCTGCATCCCTACGCTGTTCCTATCCAACTTCCACTTGGTTTATAATATGAGGACGCGATAGGAACGGGAAAGCGAGTGGCTTTGGTTTGGCTGAGCCGTATCCACGTCTCACATTTTTCTATAGAAATAAAAATGCTTTTTTTTACTATAATTCGCTAGCCATCCATTTGAACTGAGAATTTTCTATAATTATCCACGAAATAAAAATTTTATATTAGATTTCATGATAACTTCGCATATCTATCAAATATGATAAATTTTTACCTTTTTCACGTGTTAGGAGTGTGATGACATGGATGACACGTGTTAGGGTGTCAGATGATTGACAATCTAATATTAGATTTTGGATCTCGAGTCAACATGTGACTTATCGTCACCCAATTTAATGCTACATGGTCGAATGTTATCACACTCCGAGCTAAGCACGAACATAACTCTTTTACTTTGAATATTAGTTTACATCCTCGATACAGAATTACCGAGTTAGATATTATTGTTAAAGTTCAGACTCGAGACTTACTCAAAGAAAAGGCCTCGATTGAATTCCAATCAGCTTCTACCTCATACAATAAAAATCTGATCTAACACCACCTTTAACTCGTCTAGATTGCTGCATTAGATGTTTTAATGCATTGATAAATCATCATTTTTGATCAAATATAGATAAATGGGCATACATAATGACCCATGAAATGCCAAGTTCACACTGGAAGCGGATTTGGGTCGGGCTGGGTCGGCTTAAGTGGGGCTTACTCGCTTAGGCCGTAGCCCGTGTTGCCTCTTGGTCGACGGACCCAACCCAACCTAAGTCACGTTAAACCCATTTCTCCACCCGTAAAACCCTAGTCGGCCTTCGTTGCCTCTCCCCGCACGCCATGGCGCTCGCCTCCCTCCGCATTCGCCGCGCCGTCGCCCTCTCGTCCGCCGTCCTCAGACATGGCCGCTTCTTCTCGGCGATCCACGCCTCTCCTTCCCCTCCCTCCGTTCCCTTCCTCGCCGCCGTTTCCCCTGTCCCCTTCGGGGACCCTAGCCTCCAACGACCTTACTCCTTGATCCCATCCCTCTCCTTCCGGTCGTCGGCTCCTCTTTGCAGCAGCCGTTCCAGCGGCGGTGCCGACGATAAGTTCGGGCCTGATGAGATGGCCCGTGGCTGATGAGTCAGCACAGTTAGGCCCACGTGCCGACGTCGGGAATTTCTGGTGGAATATATGGATTGATGGGGTGGCTGCACCCCCCCAGCGCCTCTAGCGAGGGTTGAGGCGGTGGGATCGGGCGAGTCTTTGGAAGCGGCTGGGGGTTAGCACTCCAAAGCCAGCCGACCCGAGCGCCGCTTATGGCGAGATGCGTTCCCTCATCCCCTGGACAGTTGGCGATCTTCCTTGCAACGTGGGCACCTCCTTGAGATGGGAGATGCTGGCTGGCACTGGTCGGGGTCCTAACCGCTGGACCACCCTCTTCTGCATATTAGAGGGTGGTCCTAACCGCTGGACCACCCTCTTCTGCGACTTTGGGGCGATGACGCTGGCAGCTTGGTGGCGTTCGCCTCCCTGCAAAACGGCCTTCGTTGGGTGAGTCCCTACTTTGGCCCTCTGATGGCAAGTTAGATCGGTTTCGATTCCCCCCCCTTCCTTCCTTTCTTTCTTTTTTTTCTCCTCTGGTTGGGATCCTGGCAATTGATCCTCGCGGGGGCGGGACAAACCATCTGATGAGATAGCGTCTTTGGGGGTGCTTGAGTGGCGTCAGACAGCGTCATCGCCAAAACAGACGGCACCACCCCGGGCTCTTGGGGGAGGTCAGGTCGTACAGTTATACAGTTGAAACTTGACGTGGTGTGCACCCCATGGTTCTGGTGGCGTGTGTGGATGATGTTTGTTGGTGATTCACCTGGGGCCCAAACATGCCCTATCACTTCCTCCTCCCCCCCGGCGTGCCGACGGATACCTGCCGATCCGGGAGGCATGCCTGTGTTTAAGGGACGTGACTGTGCTGTGCTTTTCTGTGGAAGGAATGGATTGACTCATCGAGGGTGATTTAGGGGGATACGACCCTGTGGCGAGGACACGACTGACCCTGCATGGTTGGGGTGCTACGAAGTGAAACTGAGACGTCGATATGGGTGATTCGAATAGCGGGACGCGGTTTAGCCACAAGGCATGACTTGGTTGTTGGGATGGAGCCCGGGGGCCCAACGCCTGTGTGCAGACTTGGGTTTTGATGTCGGCAGGTCGCAAACCGAGATCGATTTAGCACGCTTTGGTCAGAAGTCGAGTGTGAGGGTCGAGCGGGTAGATTCGGCTTCGAATTGAGTCTGGGGGTTGAGCTGTGAGCTCGGCTCCGAATTAAGTCCGGGGACCGAGTTTTGAGCTCGACTCCGAATTGAGTCTGGGGACCGAGTTGTAAGCTCAGCTCTGAATTGAGTCTGGGGGCCGAGTTGTGAGCTCGACTCTAAATTGAGTCTAGGGATCGAGTTGTGAGCTCAGCTCCAAATTGAGTCAGGGGACTGAGTTGTGAGCTCAGCTCCAAATTAAGTCTGGGGATCGATTTGTGGGCTCGGCTCCGAATTGAGTTTGGGGATTGAGTTGTAAGCTCGGCTTCAAATTGAGTCTGGGGACCGAGTTATGAGCTCAGCTCCGAATTGAGTCTAGGGACCGAGTTGTGGGCTTGGCTCTGAATTGAGTTTGGGGACCGAGTTATGAGCTCGGCTCCGAATTGAGTCTAGGGATCGAGTTGTGAGCTCAGCTCTGAATTAAGTCTGGGGTAGTCCGCGGACCGAATTGTGAGCTCAGCTCCGAATTGGAATCGTGTTTGGGTTGCCAATGGGTCACCAGTTGGGAGCGATCTGGAGCGGCCCGGGTAGGCTTCGAGCTTGGGTTGCCGACGGGTCGCTAGTCGGGAGCGATCTAGAGCGGCCCGGGCAGGATTCGAGCTTGAGTTGCCGATGGGTCGCCAGTCGAGAGTGATCTAGAGCGGCCCGGACAGGAATCGGGCTTGGGTTGCCAAGGGGTCACCAGTCGGGAGCGATCTGGAGCGACCCGAGCAAGATTCGAGTTTGGGTTGCTGACGGGTCGCTAGTCGGGAGCGATTTGGAGTGGCTCGGGTAGGAATCGGACTTGGGTTGCCGACGGGTCGCTAGTCGGGAGCGATATGGAGCGGCCCGGGAAGGATTCAAGCTTGGGTTGTCGATGGGTCGCCAGTCAGGAGCAATCTGGAGCGGCCCGGATAGGAATTGGGCTTGGGTTGCCGATGAGTCACCAGTCGAGAGCGATCTGGACTGGCCCAGGTAGTATTCAAGCTTGGGTTGCCGACGGATCGTCAGTCGGGAGCGATCTGGAGCGGCCCGGGCAAGAATCGGGCTTGGGTTGCCAACGGGTCGCCAGTCGGGAGCGATCTGGAGTGGCCTGGGCAAGATTCGAGCTTGGGTTGCCGACGGGTCGCTAGTGAGGAGCGATCTGGAGCGGCCCGGGCAGGAATCAGGCTTGGGTTGCTGACAGGTCACTAGTCGAGAGCGATTCGGAGCGGCCCGAGCAGGATTCGAGCTTGGGTTGCCGACGGGTCGCCAGTCGGGAGCGATCTGGAGTGGCCTGGGCAGGAATCGAACTTGGGTTGCCGAGTCGTACCTGAACGGCATCGCGCCACGTGGCGAGTCAAGCGGATCGTCATGGGGCCTGGCGGGAAACTCCTTTTTGAATGGCGCTTGGCGAGGGGTCTCGGGTGATGGGACGCCTCTGGTGGGGAGTCCGAGGCGGGCGAATCTGGCGGATCCGAGGGGTTGTGATGGGTCTTAAATGCTGCGACTGTTTCTCTCCTTGGGAAGCCCTAATCGCCGCCTTGCCGTGGGTTCCACCTATCATATAGTCTCCATCTAAGGCGGTTATCATCATTCTTGCAACTAGTCCTTTGTTTCGTGCTTCGGTTCCTTCCTCACAACCCCGCCGCCCTCTTTGTTTCGATTCTCCGCCCCGGCAACCGGGCTTCTTTCCCGCGACTCCGAGGTCGGGATGTCTTCGTCTTCCTTTTCATCCCCACTTCCCACTCCTCCCTCACCTTCTTCTTCCCCTTTTGTGAGCTCCTGGGATGCTATAGTGAGCATCTCCTCGAGTAACGCCTCTTCAAAGGCCTTAGAGCGTCCCGCCGAGCTTGAGGCCCTTAAGTCTTTGCATGATGTGGACTCGGTGGTAACCGATGACATTTTGAGAGTGCTCCGGGATCGCTACCGCATCCCGGAGTGCTTCGGCCTACACGCTCCTCACTCGGGGCAGCGATCATACGATCGGTTCCCTGGTAGATTTGGTCTGACGGTGGGGGCGCTTGAAGTCGGCCTGTGGTTTCCGGTGCATCCTGTCATTAGGGATTGTCTTCACTTCTGGGGGATTTCCCCATCCTAGGTATCACCCAACTTTTGGCGGTACTTGGTAGCTTTCATCTGGGAGTGTCAGGGGGCGGGGATTGAATCGTCCCGGCCTCTCTTTATGGCTTGCTTTCGCCTAGGGAAGGGACCAGGCGGATATTACTTGATCGCTCGTAGTGGTTTCAAGATTAGTGGCGCCCCCTCCAACAACAAAGGTTAGAAGAGGTGCTTCTTCTTCGTCATTTGCGCTCAAGAGTGGGGCTTTAGTATCGGGTGGGCCATTCGGTCCATCGATAACTCCCTCCCGTCGCTCTCTGCTGGTGATACGACGCCGATGGACCGTCTAAGGGGTATCCTGTCCTCTTCTCGGGTAATAACAGAGATGATCGAGGAGTGGACTGTTGGAGCTGAGCTGAGCCCCACCACCAGGGGTATGCCCATCCGCATACAATGGCTTATTCGTTCATTCCATGTTGTTTAACCGCTACCTGTTCTTATAGAAATGGTGGACCTTCGATCAGTGAAGAAGACGGCCAGCACCAGGGCCGTCGAGACGTCGAAGAGGGAAGGCTCCGAAGGCGTGATTGTCCCGCTGGAGGGGACGTCGAAGAGGGCGCTGGCATCACCGGCAACGGAGCGCCCTCCCAAGAAGACGAAACTGGCAGTTCGAAAGATGTCGGTCAGTCGAGCCACTTGCTCGAGCACCTCGTAGGCGT